TACACGATATAGCATGGACATATTTAATTATATATATATATATATATATAATATTTTTTATTAAAGCCATCATAAAATATAACATGCAATCATGAAGTAAATTTTATAATGATAAAAGTTGATTTTGACAACATCAAGGCTGCATTCAAAATATCAAAAAAGTCACCATAATACTTAATGCCAATGCTATTCGTAATAAAATAAAGCAAAATATAATAACACAATCATCACTAATTAGAGTTAATGCATTCAACAATAGTGTCATCATAAGCGCTAGTTTTATTGCATTTATAAGTGATGTATTCACTTTTATCAATTAAAAACACCGTTTCAAAGCATGGTTCATCAAGAGAAAGGTTAGCAACTTCAAGAATTATGATATCAGCCATTGTAGCTCAGACATCTCTATTGTCTCATAATTTTGTGTCCCCTTAAGAATATTTTTTACTCCCCTAGATAGAAGACAGATTAGAATGAATAAATACCAAATATTCATCTCATTGAGGAGTGATTTTGTTCTTCTTAAGTGAATTGATAAAATAATATGTTTTCTAGTTTTTGTCACAACAGGAAGATGAACAAAATTGAGCCAACAATTTGAAAGCTAAACTTTGTAGTCATGGGGAATTTGCTCTAAAATCATATATCATGTCTCTCCATCCATAATAGCTATATAAGCTATGGAATCATGATCATCCAAAGCACCACTAAATCCAAAGAATTTAGCAAAATTCAAATTATAATTGATCTTTTCAATATTTGGGAAAATTCTCTTTAAGCATTTATTTCTCTCAATTAATATCTCTATATTATTATGTGGAGTAACCTGATTTGGAGCTTCACTTATCCAAGTTTGGCTGATACCTAATGAAAAAATGCACTTTTAAGTGATAAAATTATTCTATGTTAGGATTAATAAAGAATAAACATCAAGTCAAGTCATATCATTGATTGAGAGAGTGAGCCAACAATGAAGCGAAATGTTGCTTTTATTGCAACTTCCTATTAGAATTTCATATACAACTTTATAAAATGTGGAATCTTAATTGTTTCACTTTCTCTTATATCAATGTACAATACATTTCACCTTTTCTATCATAGAATTCTACATATCATAGCTATGATGGAGATGAGGTTTATCTGTGTCATTCAATCTCAGCATATCATATATCTGTTCTGTAAAAGTAATAATATAATTAATTTTATTTCATTACGCATCATCCAAGATTTTTTCTTTCACAAATTTTTTCTAGGTTAATATCTAGTATCTAATCAGTTAGTATCTATATGATGTGTATTCAGTTATTACACAGTAGGAATGAATCGGAAATGAGGATTTATATAACCAACTCACAATATTTGGGCTTAAGGCTAATGATAATGGTGATGATTTAGTTTTGTGCTGAATAAATTTTAAGAGAATGTTTGATAAACCTTAGCTTGATGTGAAAATGAGAAATAAAACCAATTGAGAATTCACAATTCCGAAGTTAAAATATTAAAACAAATGTTCTCCTTTTTTATGTAAACCTAAAAATATTAAAATTTGCTTCAAATGTTAATTTAATAATTGATTAAAATAAAATAAATTAATTGAAACTTTTCATTCAACAAGTCACAATTTGATTGAATTACCTAGAAAACCATCGATAGCAAATTAGAGTTAAACTCTTTAAGTTTGCAAACCAAACACAATTTATAAATATGAAATAGAACATCATAATAATTCATCGACGATCTAAAGGGTTTTAAAAATTTTGGTGTTTGATTGGATGAAAATGGAATGCAATGTAAAATTTTGATAAATTTGAAGTTTACCTTGCTTCTAAACTGTTTTATTCCAAATTTGTTTGGTTTGAAAGATTTCCAAAATCATTGTAAATTGCAACTCGCCCTCGCCAGCTACCGCCGTCTGCACTGCCACTACCACTATCAATAGTGCTATAATCACTTGTTCCTAGTATTTACATGGATTATATATAGTTGGTCTGTTGAACCCCACATTTGCAAAACGATGAGTATTGCTTTTTAAGCTTGCTTTTCATTACAATTAGGGCTATCAAAACGGCTCGTTGTTCACAAACAGCTCGTGTTCGACTCGTTAAGAAGCTCGTGTTCGGCTCGTTTTGGCTCGAAATACTACTCATCAAGTTTATATATATATATATATATATATGTATAATTGACTACAAGGCTACAAAGATTTATAACTAATTAAAATATTAATTAAGAAAATAGAATAAAAATTATTAAATTAGATTCAAATGATGTTTTAATATAAATAATAATTTTTAAATCTTGCTCGAACCATTATTGTTTTATGACTACATGATTAGGGTTGTTAAAAAATACTCTTTGTTCGTAAACAGCTCGTGTTCGACTCATTAAGCAAACGAGCTGAACATGAACACACTTTTTGAGCTCAAAATATAAACGAGAACACGAGCTGAGCATGGCTTGCTCGTGTTCAGCTCGTTTACACCCCTAATTACAATCCATATGATTTAATAGCAGCATGTCGCAAATTGATTGTGCACTTTAGCTATTAATAAATCATGGAAATTATATATTTCAATGCTGTATTCTGAAGTTGCAGTTTAATTTGAAATTTTCTTATGGTACAGTTGAACCTCTATAGTCACATTGTTCTTTAGGACTATGCCCTCAGCAGCACCATTTTTTTACTGAATGATTAAGTTATGTCCTATTTTTAATGCTATTTTTATGCAAGACATTCAAGTTCATAGGTTTTTAATATAACTAAATTGTATAATGTATGAAAATGGCAAAATGATATTTAGAATTGACAAGTTAAGGACCAGCAATTATGTAAATTGAAAAATAGTAGAAATTTGTGCTAAATAATAATTTAATTATCAAGTAAATCAAAGAAATTCAACGAGAAAATAACAGCCACCTAATCCCATAGCTCAATTGAGATGAACACTGACATTAAGTCAGTCATGCTCACAAATGAAGCTCAAATTATGATGATGAAATATATTACGGAAATAATCAGAAAATGGAGAAAATTCTGGCCTTGCATTAATACAGATGGATGAATTTTCTTAAAACTTTGCCGCCGCTATTTTGCTATAATAAATCAGCATCTAACTTTGCACACACAATAGGCAGGAAGGTAGTATAAAATTTTTATTAAGAAAAATAAGTTCCCTTGCATGCCCCATATTCTCAATGTATATTCTCCAAAGTTACTTAAATTGATAGAAAATCCCAGTATCAGCCTGTCACAGTGAACGGTTTGGTGTAAAAGCATTATTCGGATAATCTCGGAGGATTTGAAATTCACACATTCAGGTGTCCCACTAGAGGTCACGCTGTTCCTGTTATATGCAACATGAAGGCTCTGATCGACATATAATCGAACTACTGCTACAATAGATGAATCTGCTACAAAAGCTAGCAGGCGTCCATGTCACAACTAATCTCTTCTAGAATTGTGATAATAAGATAATATTACTTCTGGGGAACACCACCAACTTTTTTCTAGTGGTGAAGCAAACTTTTTTGTATATTTAACTTAATGGGTTTTATACAGGGTTTGGTGATGGATTCGGATGAATTTTCTAGATAGATGGTAGTTAGAAATGGTTTCGTTTAGGGTCTTTTTGTAGTAATTTTCTTATTACTTTGCTTTTTAGATATTTTCTGCAGTTTTATTCAGCGATAATTTTTTTGTTGATTTTCAGAAAGTTTCGTAGGGGCAAATTACTTTTTTACTGTCAATACTGCTTGAATGTGGTAGTTATAGAAAAGTTGTTCATATATTTTTGTAAAAATAAAGTGTCTGTAATATCCCAATAACATTAAAAAATTTGTTTGTCTCACAAAATAAATTATTTATTAATTTTAGAGAGATAGTTGTAACTGCTTCAAATAGACACTTGGTTAATTCTTCGTTCATATTCAGTTTGGGTTGACCATTATTTCGATTCACTCCAACTAATACATAGGTGGCCTGGGATTTATTGTAATTTGCTACCAGTAATATCCTATTAATTACCGTTTATGTTTTGTGTAAGGCGACTTATGTTTTATTTTTTTTTTTTTTCGGTGTAGACTTTTAAAATGCTAATTTTTCCAACCACCATCTTAGTTCTGGTTTCTTAAAAAAAAGGATTTTCCAAGATAAATTTAAAGGAAAAAAAAACTACAGGCAAGGAACTGTGTAGTATTTTCATACAAACAAACAGCATTTTACTGTTTGCTTTTTCTTCCCGAAAAAACTATAAAAAAAGTTGCCCGCATATTGGTAAGACAAACTTAGGTCGAGATCTGAACCACGTTTATAAGGAAAAATAGTTTTCATCAGGTGGTTTACAATGTTCATTCTTGTTTTGCCACCGCTTATTATATATTTCAAATTACTGAACATCAAATATTTGCAAAAAAAAAAAATTTAAAAAAAGCTGAAGATTATAACTTGTCGAAAGGTATGTAAACTCGACTCAAGTCACACTCAGCCTGAGCTTGAGTATTGATTAATTTTATATAGCTCAAGCTCGACCTTAAGCATACGAGTTCGAGCCGACTTGTTTATTATAAAAAAGAGAGAATAATATTAATTTAAGGTAGTGTTATAATAAACTGATAAATAGAATGAACAATTAGGAGATAAATAATAAAAAACCTTAATATTAGATACAAATTATTACTTTTTAAATATTTTTTAATACTTGAAAGGTAAAATATTCAAATTTTATAAACTTTTAGTATATTTTATGTTAATATCTTTTTAAACTGCCGGCTCACGTGTCAACTAGCGAGTTAGAGCTAGCTTGAACTTGGCTTGAGCTCATCGAGGTAAGTTCATGAGCCACTTATCGAGCCGAGCCTAAACTGGCTCACGAGTTGGCTTGACTCACTTACACTCTTACTTGTGGATGTGCTAAAGCATTATTTTTTGTGATATATATGCATTTATAGATTGTCCTGATCTCACTAACTTCTTCCTTTTCCTTACCCCTTAACACATGTAGGTGATTCATCGAACATCTCTTCTCTTCTTGATTCTCGTCTGAAGTCCATTCTTGAGAGTGTTCGATTGGTTTATCTCCTCGATAGAGAAGGTTGGGATTCCACTCCCAACTGGGAAGACGTTCTTTCACTCGGTGAACAGCAAAGACTCGGCATGGTGAGTTGAGAAGAGCAAACAGCTCTGTTAAAATTCACGCATTTTTCTCTATGTTTGTTAACTTAGCGCATATTTATTTCAGGCACGGTTATTTTTCCATCATCCTAAATTTGGCATCCTTGATGAATGCACCAAGTAAGTTTGCATAACAAACTTGGCATATTTCAGTTAAGGGGCATTTACAAAGCTTACAATTCTCATGTATTTACATACATATCTCACACCTAAACATTCATATTTAC